TCTTTTTTTTCCTCTCTCTCTCTCTCTCTCTCTCTCTCTCTCTCTCTCTCTCTCTCTCTCTCTTTCTCACGCTATTCCTAAAAGATGAAGTTACAAAAAATTTGAAAAATTTGAAATAAATAGAAGATGATAAATTAGTACTCTCTTTTTCTTTCTCTTTCTCTCTCTCTATTTTCTCTCTCTCTCTCTCTCTCTCTCTCTCTCTCTCTCTCTCTCTCTCTCTCTCTCTGAAGATTCAAAAATTATTAAATACATTACGATCTAAAACAGTAGTTGCAGAGAGAGATGCTTTAATGACTTTAGCAAGATATCAAAAGATGCAAACATCCTGCACGCCATAAAATTACCATCCCCAAATAACAATAACAATAATAATAATAATAATAATACAAATAACAACAACAGCAATATCACTGCTATTACCACTACTATTACTATTGTGGCTGCTACTACTACTATTACTACTACTACTACTACTACTACTACTACTAATACTACTACTAATACTAATACCACCACTACTACTAGTAATACTACTACTAATACTACTACTACTCCTACTACCACTACTACTACAACTACTACTAATAATAATAATGGTTGAAGAAAATTGTTAATAGCAAACAGATAACAACCCAATTCAACATTAATTCATCATATCGAACTAGTCACCCAGCCAGGCTTGGCTTTTAAAATTTAAATCAGTACAAAAACACACATACACACACACATACACACAGAGACAGACACGCAAACACACACACATACTTCTGTACACAACATATCAAAAAATGTTCTCTTAGACGTACTAATCAATCTTACGCAGAAAGAGAGAGAGAGAAAGAGAGAGAGCTAAAGAAAGGGAGACATACACACGCACACACACAAACAAACAAACAAACAGGATAACTGGATTTTCCCAGCACATGGATCAAAACACACAGAGACGCGAGATTGACAGGGCCTTCCAGATTTGGTCAGACGTGGCAAACATCAGATTCCAAGAGGTCAGTCGAGATGCCGATATTGTTGTCTTCTTCCGTGCCCAAGACCACGGCGATGGCTACCCATTTGATGGACCGAGTCTGAGTTTTTCTTTTTGATCTTTTAAAATGTTTTTCCTCTGAATGGCAGTTGTTTGTTTTGTGGCATACTTGCACCGCTCTATTAAAATGTCGCTGATGGATCTTTGTAGAAAGTTGATTCAATGTTATCATCACCACAAATACATGGCAACAATAATTCATGATTGTTTGTAGTGAGTTCATTTGAAGCTCTACATACCCGACAACACTCCTCCATTCTACAAATATTTAAATGGAATTTTGAAATTAAAAATAAATATTCCTCTGGTTAGGTGGGACACTGGCCCATGCCTTCCCACCGGGCCCGGATCGCGGGGGGGATGCCCATTTTGACGAACACGAAAGGTGGAGCAGCGATGGCAGAGAGGGGAGTTAGTACCCTTTAATTATGAAAATAATAACGAACATAATAAAATAATATTTATATAATAATAATAATAATATAATAATAATAATAAAATAACAACAACAACAGCCACGGATTTGTTCATAGTTGCGGCTCACGAGTTTGGCCACAGCATCGGGATATTCCACTCGGAAGTGGAGGATGCCCTGATGTTCCCTTGGTACCAAGGGTATCAGAAGGATTACAAACTCCATTATGATGATATTGTTGCTGCCCAGACGTTATACGGTCGGTGGTTGATTGGTTGATTGATTGGTTGATCGGTTGGTTGATTGGTTGGTTGATTAATTGGTTGGTTGGTTGATTGATTGATTGGTTGGTTGATTGGTTGGTTGATTGGTTGGTTAATTGATTGGTTGGTTGATTGGTTGATTGATTGGTTGGCTGGCTGGTTGGTTGGTCTGTTGTTTATTTACTACTTATCAACCAATTATTTCGAATTCAATTTTTTATTAGTCTGGTAATTCTGTTCTACTTTCTTATTATTATTATTAATTATTATTATTATTGTTGTTGTTGTTTTTATTTTATTATAGCCCATAATTTAATCATATATCTGGTGTGTACGCCTTTTTACAACATTTGGGTGTGAACCAATTATTACTGCTTGAACGCATGTGTGCGTGTGTGTGCGTGCCTGCGTGTGTGTGTGTGCGTGTGTGTGTGCGTGCGTGTGATGGTGTTAATGTGTATGATTGATTAATTTATTGGGATGTACTAGCCATAGCCAGCCACTGACGTTGACTTTTTTTTTCATTCAGTATAATTTTTTTTCATCATTCGAAAAATTTTCAAATTAATGTTTTTATATTACCCTCGTACAGTTAGACACGCACGCACACGCACACACACAGAAGCACACGTACACACACACACACACACGTACACACACACACACACACGTACACACACACGTGTCAATATCCAAAATCTCATTACATGCAATGAAATTATTGACGCTAGTAACATTAAAATTAAATAAAGAGAAATACGGCTGAACTTTTTCCACACCATCATCTCAAACAAACCATTAAAAGTGAACTTTTTGTGTCAAAACTCCTTCTAGGCCCATCAAAAGGAGGTAGTAGGGGAAGTTTCGCAACAAAAGAGCCCACATATTCCACGACCACCCCCAGACCAAGGCCGCGGGACAGCCAGCCCAACCCCTGTAATACCGATATTGATGCTGCTACTAATTTGAGAGGGGAGATTTTTGCATTCAAAGATAAGGTAGGTCGTTTGGTTGAGATGTTTTTTTGTTTGTGTGCGTGTATGTACGTGTGTGTGTGTGTGTTTATTTGTTTGTATGGGCGTTTGTTTGTATGTTTGTTTGTTCGTTTTTATGTGTGTATGTTTGTTTGCTTGCTAGCTCATTGTTCATTTTTAAAGTAACAACGAAACAAACACAACAACACCAACATCAACAACAACATCAAAAACAACAACACCAACATCAACAACACCAACATCAACAACAACATCAAAAACAACAACACCAACATCAACAACACCAACATCAACAACAAAATCAACAACACCAACAACATCAACACCAACAACAACATCAACATCAACAACAACAGTGGTATTGGAGGTTCGATCAGAATGGCGCCCTGATAAACGGTCGACCTTATGAGACGCAGTATTTTTTCAAGCTGCCAACCGGTTTGAACGTCATAGATGCTGTTGCTGAAATACCTGGCAAGAGGGAGAGAACCATGTACATTAGTGGTATGTGTGTGTGTGAGTGTGTGTGTGTTGGTGTATGTCTGTGAGTGTGTGTGGAGTGTGTGTACCCACTACGATCGTGTGTGTATGTGATATATCTTAATTCACACACACGAACACACACACACACACATAAACACACACACAAAAACACACACACACACAAACATACACAAACACACACACACATACATAACAGGTAACAGATACTGGCTACTACACCTCCTTGATATCGAGTACGGATTCCCGAAATCCGGAAAACCTCTGACATCCTTGGGAATCCCGGCCGACATCACGAAGATTGATGCTGCTCTGTATTGGAAGTACAACGGAGCTGTCTATCTCTTTGCTGGTGCGTCAGACCTTTTTGTATTTTAAGTCGTAGAGTGAGAGAGAAGGGGGGGGGGGAGAGGGAGAAAGAGTGAGTTTATAAATATATTTTAAACTAATATATATATATATATATATATATATATATATATATATATATGTATATGTATAATTTTAATCGCAAGGTTACCTGTATTGGAAGCTGGACACTAAAGGACAGGATTTATACATAGCGGATGGCTATCCGAGGGCATTTGACATGTGGGATGGAATCCCGGTCCCAATCGACGCCGCTTACACAGCTTCAGACAGTTAGCTGCTTTGCTACAATGTTTCTTATTCAAAAAGTTAAAGAGTATTCTTTACTGCAGTTTGAATGCCTGCTATCCCGGGTTTGAATGCAAGCGTGGGCGGAACTTTAATTGCCGACGCAAGTAATTTTTAATGGTGTGATGTCGTCACACCTCGAACAGATCTGACACGCATACAAAAATTTCAAAAAAAAAACAAAAAAAAACAAATCAAAATTCCAATCTATGAAGTTTAATTCATTTTTCCCAAATGAACAGACAGAACATTCTTCTTCCGGGGGACGCAATTCTGGGAGATCGACAACGCCAGGATGATGGCCCTACCCGGGTACCCCAAGGACATCGGCCAGATGTGGCTCAACTGCCCACAATCCCTCCAATCCAGAAACAGTTCTCCGCCGAATCTTTCCAAAAATGTGGCCTTCACAATTTTTGGCGCCCTGTTCATCACTGTTGTATTTTTGCTTGGAGATGTGCACCTGACTGGTTGATCATGATAATTATGACAGAAATTATAGTTATAATTATGATAGAAATTATAGTTATAATTATGATAGAAATTATAGTTAATTATTATGAAATTATGACGATGGATGTTGTAACTCATTGTAGTCTTATATTATCGTAAAGCACAATTTAAATACAATCTATATTTTATATTTCTGTCATAATTTTTCCAATCTTAAACTTGCTTACACGCACACGCAAACACATACACACATACATATATGTTTGCTTGTGTGTGTATTTATTCTTGTCTATATATTTCCAATTTTAGCCATAAAATCCATTTAACATTATTCCAAAAAGATATTTTTACATTGTTAGCGCTGTATTTCAGGACATTTTCGATGTTTCTATTTAAATAATAATAAAAATTATTATTATATATTATATTATATTATAATAATTATTATATAATTATTGTTTTCCTATTATTAGCTATGTTATATCACTAGGCAATATTTTTAGCGGCGGAAATAATAATAATAAATTATATAAAAACAAATATATTTATTTATTTATTTTATTCATTCAAAATAATAAAATAAAATTAATATTCTTGTTTTATTGTATTTTTATTATTAAAATGACGAAATCAAAATGTTACAGCATGGTATGTGGGTGAAGTTAGTAACGCTAAGATTAAATGTCATTTAGAAGTTTGCAATCAGCCCATAACCAACCAATCAATCAACCAATCAATCGACCAATCAGTCAATCAACCATTCATTCATTCATTCATTCATTCATTCATTCATTCATTCATTCATTCATTCATTCGATCGGTCGATCAATCAATGCCTCCGTGAGGATGATGTGCTGCCATGTGATCTGCAAACCTGTTGTGAAATGAGTACAATCAGTCATCCAATAATTAAATCAATCAATCATTTAATCAATCAATCAATCAATCAACCAGCCAACCAACCAACTAATCAATCAAGTAAGCTAGCACATTAATCAATCAACTAATCAACCGACCGACCAATTATTTAAAGAACTTCATAGATCAGACATCTTAATTGATTAGGTAATAAATTAATTTGGTTGATTAAGAGATTGATTGTTTGAAATCATAATTTAAAAATTATGACAACGATCGTCATAATTATCATAATTATCGTAATTATCATAATTATTATAATTACTTCTGGTGCCAGTCTTCAGCTGCAGAATCTCTCTGGCATGAAGCGGTGTAGGCCAACTTGTACAGTACCTGATGATGATGATGACGACGACGAGGATGATGATGAAGATGACGATGGTGGTGATGATGATGATGACGATAACGATGGTAGTGGTGATGATGGTAGTGGTGAGGGTGGTGGTTAACTCACCAAAAACACAAATATGTGAAGGAATAAAGTGTAGAAAAATACGATGGTTCTTGCTTTTTTGCTTCCCATTATGAATCTTCCCTGTCAGTCAATCAATCAATCAATCAATCAATCAATCAATCAATCAATCAATCAATCAATCAATCAATCAATCAATCAATCAATCAATCAATCAATCAATCAATCAATCAATCAATCAATCAATCAATCAATCAATCAATCAATCAATCAATCAATCAATCAATCAATCAATCAATCAATCAATCAATCAATCAATCAATCAATCAATCAATCAATCAATCAATCAATCAATCAATCAATCAATCAATCAATCAATCAATCAATCAATTAACCAGCCAATCAATCAACCAATTAATCAGCCAACAAAGAAACACATCCACCTACCATTCCGAGTGTAATTTTATCGTAAGGTTTCAAATCCATGTACCTCCTCATTCTTTCTTTCTGATTGAAAGAATGAAAGGGGTCCAACCTCTGATCATACTGCGACGAATAGCGAAGCTCCGTTTCGTCCATTTGCTGACTGGTCGATGAGGATTGATGGTAGGCGTGGCTTGCAGACTGCTGCGTGTTGTGATTGGTCGACGAAGAGTGGGCAGCCGATGATTGGTTGATGTTGAAGAGGATAAAATGATGAAAACAACACGCACACATACAAACACGTGCACATACTCACACACACACAAACACACACACACATACACAACCTTAGCATTGTGTGAATAGCCTTGTAGGAACTTTATCTTCTCGTACAGCTTCAAATTATCCGACCTCAACTTGTCCATCTCGTTTTGAAGCATCTGGTTCTGCTGCTGCTGCACTAGGGACACCTACGTCATCGTCATTATCGTCGTCGTCGTCATCATCATTACGATCACCCTCGCCATCATCATCATCAAGATCACAACCATCATTATCACAACTCTTTCTTACAGTTTCCAGTTCTTGGGCTCTCAATCTAAACCTCTCTCTCTGATTTTGTATGATCGTTATCAGGCCGTCGGACGAACTTTTGCTGCTGCTGCTGCTGGTGATGATGCTGCTGCTGTCGCTACCACCAATACTGCTGCTGCCATTACCACCTCCGGCGTCCCTACTACTTTCTAAGTTAGATGCGGTAGTAGTTTTTGACAGGGTTGAAACATTTGTAGAAGCTGGTTGATTAGCAGATAGATTGATGGATGAATGGATGAATGTACCAATGAAAGAATGTACGAACGAATGAATGAATGAAGAATGAATGAGCAAATAATTGAATAAAAAATCATTAATGAATGAAAGAATGATGAAGACGAGATGAACTTTGAACCCAGCAACTTACTCTCTTTAACAATGCTTGCCACAATGTCTGCAGTCTGATTGGTCGTCACTGCCTCACCCTGTTCAATTATCGATGAATACAATTTCTAATTTCTCGAACCCCACCCCATCAACCAACCAATCAATCAATCAGTCAGTCAATCAACCAACCGATTGACAAACCCAGACATTCATTCAGACCAACGGACATACACATACAGCTAAACAAACAAACAACCAGACAGACCGACAGACAAGACAGATAGACAGAGAGACGGACAGACAGACAAACCTCTGCGTCTCCTCTAAACATAACAGACAGTGCATTAACACTCCTTAGATCTTCCTCCAGCTGCAGTATCAACCTCTTCTGATCCTGCATCATTCGGATCGAATCCGAGTACTGCTCCTGCAACTTCTGGCACCTCTCTGTCGGCGAGTTGAGAGGTCAGGTTAGGTTAAGTTCACGAGGTCAAGGGCATAATTGGATCAAGTTGGGTCAAGTTAATACCTTTTACATCGTTGAAGGCGCATTTGATGGTGGTGTTCTCGTTCTGTAGCAGTCGGTTCTTCTCCAAAAGCAGCGTTTCCAAACTTTTCGTTTCAGCCCTCAAGGACGACGACGACGATGACGACGATGATTGTTGTTGTTGATGATGATGGTAGTGGTCGTTGTTGAGCTGTTCGTCATTCTGGTTGTTCAGACAGGAGAATTCTAGCGACTTCAAGACGCTTCAGTGACATCATTTCATCATTTCATCATCATCATCATCGTCGTCGTCATCATCATCATTATTTGTATTAACAGCACCAATGTCGACACCAGAGTCCTTTGCATTCAACTGAACAACACACGGCAAGAACACAACGAAGCGTACATATGCATATATGACATCACCATCCCTTTCTTCATCTCACTGTTTCATCACTATCTCACCTCAACTCTCTCCTAATCTCATCGTAATCTTCTTGCTTCTTAAGCAGCGCCTGCAACTTATCGAATGCTTCATTCTTATTGGCCAGCTCTTCCTCCAATCTGGCCAATTGAGAGGAGCTTGAGTCTCGAAGCTTGTTCACCCTTTGTTGAAGGCGTTGTACATCCTCAACCAACTGAGAAACCTCCTTCTCTTTAGCAGCCAGTTCAACTTCTAAGCTAGCCCTCTTCAAAATATCAATGGCATGGCCGGCCGACAGCTCATCGCGTCTGTGTACATCCCTACCACTGCTGACGTCATTGCTGTCCTTAATAACGGTAGCTAGGTTGTGGTCGTCGTTGTTGTCGCCCAGATTGCGCAGCTGCTCCAGCAACCTCTCTGCAGTCAGTGCTCGCTGCAGGTGGAAGTTATTTTTGAAAGAAAGTATTGAAAAAACGAATTGGGATTGAACAAGATGGGATTTTTGATGAAAGGTCAAAAAGACCTGACCTCGTTTGCCCTCTCAAGGTCACCAATGAGGAGGTCAACCTCGTCAGATTTCGCCGCCATCGCTTCGTCGTGTTTTGCCTTGACATCAAACAAATCAGACTGCACTGAATTGAGAGCTGAGTGAATGAATGAATGAATAAGTGAATGAATGAATGAATGAGTGAATAAACTAACCAATCAAATCAGTCAACCAACCAACCAACCAGATTGAAGAGTATTAACTCTGTGTTCGGCCTCTCCAAGTTTCTTTGCCAGATCAGTCTGCTTGTCAATCCAATTTTTTTCTTTCTCTACGTAGTTCCTCTGCAGCTCTTTCTCCTTCTCGTTGGCCATCATCTTCGATTTGATTGGTTGATTAGTTGGATGGGTTAATCAATCGATTGATTAATTAATCGATTGACTGATTGATGAGATCCTTGATTGATAATGATGATGACGACTAGTATGATGGAGATGATGATGATGGGAATGATGATGATGATAATGGGAATGATGATGATGATGACACCAACATTAGCCTGCATCTCCATCTTGTCTTCAAACTCTTTTATCTTCTCCTTCAACTGTTTCACCGTTATTTCTTTGAACAAACAATACACACATACACAAACATACATACATAGATACATACATACATACATACAAAGAAACACATACTTACAAACAACAAAACACGCACACATACATACATTGGACACATACAAAACACACATGCAAACACACATACATATAAACATACATACAAAACATACATACATACAAACATACATGCATACAAACATACATACATACAAACCTTGATTTTTAACTTCAGCAAATTCACTATTATACTCATCCAGCCTATCTTTTAATTGCTTGTTGATCAGTTCTAGTTCGGGTAACCTTGATGCCCTCTTCTGCAATTGTAAACTGTACTCCAAAGCTACTGTTGGGTCTGTTTATAATTATTTATAGTTGTTTATTAATATTATTATTATTGTTCATTATTATAAATAGTATTTATTAATGTTTATTATTGTTATTATTGTTCTAATTATAGTCTAACCTGGAATTTCCAAAATCTTTTTATAGATATTTAAGAATGCAGTCTCTCCGATTTTGCTCCTCTTTGATAGGGCATCGATTTCAGCTTGAAAAAGTCTCAACAGTGGGGCCACAATTTTTTTAATTTCCTTAGTGTTATTAATTTAAATAAGCATTTATTAATAATAAAAATGATCTGGTAACTTTATTTATAAAAAAGATATTGGTTTATACTTTTTAATAGTTTATACTTTATAGTATTATTGTTTCATGAATCAATAAAAAACTATATTTAACATCTGGGGTGGTCCGTTTAAATTCTTTGGTCATTTCAACGAGCTTCTTCCTAGAAACTTCACTCTCATCTTGACGGGTTGCTATTTCTGCAGCATCTTTGTCAAGATCTCTCTGTTGTAAAAAGTAGTGTTTAATTTTCGCAAAAATATAATTTTCAGTTAATGATTTTAATATGATTAGAGTTTGTGAAGGTTTTTATATAATATTTGTAATCTAAAAACTTTACTAATTGCTGGCTAATTCAATAAAAAAAAACATTGATACTTGAATGTTTACGAGTTCAAAAGCCTTCCAGTATTCGTACATTGAATTAAGACTATTTGACATGGTTTTAATTTAAAATTAGTAAAATTATATTATATAATTGTTATATTTATTTAATAAATAAATATTTTAATTTATTTATTTTAAATGTAAACCAAAACACTACGAAGATTACGTTGGTTAGATACGCTTTTTTTAAAGGTAAAGTAATGGAAGGCTGTATACGCATTTGATGAGAATAACATCTATGATTGCAAATTAATTGATATTTAAACTAATTAAAAATTTGTTTTTTAGTTACAAAATAATAATAATAATAATGTTTTTTTAATTAATGTTTTATTTGTTTGAAAAAGCTCCTCAAAATAACATCAAGATTGGTAATTTAATTTGAGTTACGATCGAGTTAAAGACATCGTGCTAAGTTTATTACCAGCATGTCGTTAACTTTTCTCCTAAAAAAGTTGTAGAGATCTCGCTATTTTTTTACTGCATCTTTATTAAACTTTTCGTAAAATGTTACAATGCTTAAAGCAATTTACAAAATTATCTATTTCGAATAGTTTATTAAAGACCAATGCACTCACCACTTCATCTCTGATAAAAAGATTAGAATCCGGCGAGTCAGATTCCGGAGATCCAAAGTACAATCCATATCCTTGTTATGAAACACCTTCACCTTACAGAAACCGCAGGGGGATTAAGAGGTTCTACGAATACAAACTTTTTACTACAGGTCGGGATTAATTAATATTTTTTGCATAATAATTAATAAATATTAAATAACTAATTAATTAGGTACCTTGCCAAGGCCGACTGGGGAATGGGAAGATATACCAGTTCCAATGCCTAAATGGGATCCCCAAAAATTAAATGCCTGGACCTCTAAAAAGGCTTTGTTTGGTCAAAATGATTATATTGGTTAGTTTAGTAATTTAGTTTCAAGTAACCCATTTTAAAGTTTATTATAAACTTTTCAGTTTTTTTATTAATTAGGGATTCAATTTTAGTATTAAATAATTTTTGATTAATAATTTTGTTTTGAAACTTTAGTTAACTTTTATAGATATGTATCATATGTTAATTTAAATTTAATTTAGATATTTTGGGAGATGGAACAGTACATCCCTGGGAATTGTTATCAGCACCCCCATGGCTGAAAGGTTTCAAAGGTAATGAGATGCAAAGACTCATTCGTCGATTAGGAGTTCAAGGTGAATTCCTCAAAGATACCTACCCATCAAAGTATGTTAAAAACTTTTCATATATTTCCCCTGATGAACTACAATAGCATTTTTTTATCCAATTTAGATGATTTTATCTTTTTATAACTTCATTGATTTATAATTTATTATTCAATTTATTTTTTGTCCGTTTTTTAGGTACCATCAGATAACGAAACAGATAAGGTACCTATACAACAAGTTAAACAGGAGGAGGAAGGCGCCATACTGGGGTGGCTACAGTAGATTCTCCAGAATTGATAAACCCGTCATTTAATTTAACTTGTTCTTAATTATCATTATTTTGTGATTGTATCTTTCTTATTAAATAAAAAAGAACTGATCGTTTAATCTCTTGTCTTTCTGCCATTTTAAAATAACTTGTAGAAAAGATACTTTTGGTTAAAATTATTAAAATATATTTTATAAACAAAATGAAAAAGTTTTTAGTGAAATTTAACTTTTGAGCGTGTTACCGACTGGAATAGAATCATAAGAGTATTTTTTTTCTTGCAAGTTTAACCGTCTATGCTCTGCTGACATGGCATATTTCTTTTAGTCTGGGCGTTAATAGGTGTCAGTCTAGTAGTTTTTTTCACCCTGATTTTCCGGTATTTCGAAATGGCCTCGAAAACTAAAAAGTTAACTAAGCAGGAAGAATTGTTGTTGCAGGATTTTAGCAGAAATGTCAGTACAAAGTCGTCTGCCCTTTTTTACGGGAATGCTTTTATTGTGTCTGCTATCCCCATTTGTTAGTTTTTATTTTAATTTCCTCACTTTTTTGTTTAAAATTCTAAATAAAATAAATAAGTTGAAGGGAATGATTATTACAAATTTGTACAATGCGTTATTTTGTTTGAAATCTAATCATGAATTTCTAATTATCTTGGTCATAAAATGAAGTATAATTAAATAAAAAAAAAACCAAATGAAAATCTTTCCAAGGGTTGTTCTGGAGAATTCACCAGATAGATATGTACATGTCAATCATTCTCTTCCTAATCTTTACCAGTGTCAGTACCTACCTCGTCGCTCTGGCCTACAAGAATGTCAAATTTGTTCTTAAACACAAGTAATTTGTAACTATCTTCTTTTAATCACAAGTAACTATCTTCTTTTAATATTTAATCTGCTAATTATTATTAACTTTTTAATTAATGACTAGATTTATTTGATTTAATTTTTTATTTCCCTGAAAAAGGATTGCCATAAAGAGAGGTGAGGCTGTCAACAGAGAGGTCATGAGGCAGATTGCTGACGACAAAAAAATGTCAAAGCAGGAGAAGGAGGAAAGGTCTGATGATGTGATAATACTAATCTTTCATTTCAAATAAATCATTCAAGATGGTGTTGCGACGTAATAGTGCCTGGTTCAGCTGTTGCAACTGATTGGGTTCAAATGCAAAGTGATCTCAGCCATGTATTAATAAAATTCATAAGATGGTTTAGTCATTTGCTGCTAATGTTTTTATCAGGTTTTTTGAAATTAAATCAGTAAATATTAATAATTTCTTGTTCTATGGAAATTTAATTAATAATTATTTTAATTGGTTAATTTGATTACTGATAAATTTAGAGTTTTGTGGAAGAAGAACGAGGTTGCAGACTATGAGGCGACAACATTTTCCATCTTCTACAACAATGCCCTCTTCTTGGTCCTCGTCATCGTCGCATCATTCTATCTTCTTCGCTCTTTCTCTCCATATGTGTTAGTTTTTTTTCTGTTTAGTCTTTCTCTCTCTTTCTCTCTCTCTCTCTCTTTCTCTCTCTCTCTCTTTCTCTCTCTCTCTTTCTCTCTCTCTCTCTCTCTCTCTCTCTCTCTTTACTTCACTTTTTCTTATATTTTAGAACTCATAAGTTCATTAGATTTCTAAATTAAATGACCTGCTTTTTATGATCGAGTAATTTTTTGGTTCAATATTATTTTTCAAATATAAAAACGTTTTCTTCTTTCAAATATAATAAATTAATTGATTATTATTTTATAATAATAATATTATTTATTATATTATTTATAATTATTAAATTATTCTTCCCCAGCAACTACAGTCTGTCAATGGTTACAGCTAGTGGTCTCTTGGCTCTGTTCTCTACCAGTTCAAAATGAAAACATGAATCATAATAACTATAATAATAATAATTATTATCACAATTGAAAATAATAATTAATAAATATGTTAAATAAATATTTTAATTGTTTTTCGTTATCTCTGTAATAATTTGTCAATAATAGTTTATTATTGGATCATTGTGTATTTGTTGTTGCGGTTGTCGTTGTGGTTGTTGTTGATTTTATGTCATTATTGAAATGAATTAATAAAAGGTTGAAACAGTAAATTTCCAATTTATTAATAAGAAACAATCAATTATGAACCTGTGTTAACAATAATCACCATTATTAATGTTATAATTTTAAATTAAAAAATGAAACGCTAATTTCATATTAGTAAGTTAGTGATAGAAATTGAACACAACACCGGGTATATCTGCAGTTTGCATTATGACAACCGAAATTTTTAACTAACGAAAATTTTGAAATCTTTTTAAACATCAAGGTCCGAGAAGGTTTCATTCACACTTTTTGTGTTTCTGTGTGATTTTGCGTATGTGTGTGTTTCTGTGTGTGTGTTTGTATATATATATATATATGTATGTGTGTGTGTGTGTGCGTGCATTTATAAGCAAAGTTTGTAGGGAACAATTTTACTTTAGCGTATCTAATTATAGTTGGATAAAGTTATAATAGAAGTGAGCTAAGAAACGTTTCAGAGAGAGAGAAAGAAAAGAAAGAATAATAAAAAGACAGAGAGAGAGAAAGAGAGGGAGAGAGATCAAGGGCGAGATTAAATCCTTCACAGACACAAACAACAAAATTCATATTTTCAAAGGCAAGTTAACGCGTTTAAACCTTCGGTTCAATCAATCTCTTAGAAAACACAGTACTACATATCGTCATATTATTACTAATATTCTTCTAATTATTCCTCCATTTCTTCTTTTTATTATTATTATTAATTTATTATTATTTTTATTTGATGTTTTGAGAAAACAACAACAAATAGTCTGTTGTTTTTGGGTAGAAATTGGTAGAATCAGATTTGATGCTGAAACTGATAAGAATAATAAAAAACTAATAATGATGATGATGAATCTAATGATATCATTGTTGTTTTTATTATCAGTGTTTGTAAGTGTATAGATATTTTTCTTCTTTTTGATGAGAATGTTTTCAATGATTAAGATCGCTCTCTTTACTGAAGAAAAAGCTAACAGAGTGAACGTTTTGTTTGCCACTATCATTACTCCTATCTCTAATAATCTATACCTTAATATTAATAGGAGGGGTTGAGTGTAGTAACTGTAGCAGCAGCAGCAGCAGCAGCAGTAGTAGTAGTAGTAGTAACAGTGGTAGTAGTAGTAGTAGTAGTAGTAGTAGTAGTAGTAGTAGTAGTAGTAGTAGTAGCAGCACTAGTTATTTCTTCTGTCTGCTCTATTTCATTTAAAATTATTATTAAGCCAAACGTATTACATAAAATTTTTGTGTATTATTGTATGTATGTGTGTATATATATGAGTGTGTGTGTGTTTGTTTGTTTGTATGCATGCGTGTATGTGTTTGTATGTATGTATCTATAAACAAATAGAAATCGAAACAGCAGAGAAATAAGAACTCCCATCAAGAGATTCCACACGCTGATTAATTGATTTTAAATTTTAAACAGAAACTTTTTTTTCAACTCGATTGCTTGTGTTTCACACACACACACACACACACACACACACACACACACACACACACACACACACACACACACACACACGCACACACACACACACGCACACAAACACGCACAAACACACACACACACAAACATACATATATATATATATATATATATATATATATAACTTTTTATCCGATGGATGAATTAATAATAGTTTGTGAAGGATTTCCGTGTGTTGTTGCTTGCTAGTTGTTGTTTGAAATTGCTAAAAACAAGAGAAGCATACACACAGACACACGCACACACACACACATACATACATACACACACATACACACACACACACACACACACACACACACATACATACATACACACAGAGAAAGATAGGAAAAGAGAACTAATAAAAAGATACGAGTTAAGATAAGAGTTAAAAATACTTCTCTTTCTTGAAACAATTTTCTAGGGAAGATTTTGTGTTTATGTCTAGCTTGTAGTTTACTCCAAGATAATTTTATTGGTTTACGTGTATGTAGGTGGAAATATGTGTACGTGTGTGTACGCGCGCGCTCGCGTGTGTGTGTATGTCTGTTTATCATCTACCTATCATACAAAAATAAACATAGAAATACTGATTGCGATATATGCAGTGTTAAGCATGCAATGATATTAATGAAATGAAACAAAGCCACTGACTTGATGGAGAGTTTAAGCTGAAAAATTTCATTCAACACACACACACACATACACACACAAACACACATACACACGCACACGCACAAAAACACACACTCACGCACACAGATCAATACGGCACAGCGCAATTACACTGAACAGCGCTTTCCTTGCTAGTTGACTTGAGGAAATCTTCGTAAGAGACATTAGCGTAGTTGGGGGAGTCCGTCAGATTAGGAGATTTAGTGAAGTGACTTTTAATTTTGGCAGAGTGCAGACATGTCGGTTGGTGGCCACTGGAGAAATTGGGTGGAGGTGGTAATGGAGGAGGGGGGTGTTGCGAAAGAAGGGGCTGATGAAATCTTATTCCTCTTTTCGGCCCGTCTGATTTTGGTGGTTTCGGGGGTTTTGCTGTTATGATTGGCTGGTAGTTCCGGGCGTGGTGTTTTAGCCCTGTTTGATTGGTTGAAATTCAACAAAAACAATAATAATAATAATGACAATTTATATAGAGCTAATGAAAGCAGCTGAAGGCCTCAGTTGGCTATTAAGTTTCTGAAGCTTCTTTACAAATTTTCGACTTGAGATTTTTATTAAAAAAAAACAGAAACTTGAAGACTCATGTAAAAATAATTGAAAACATATTGATTAGAAAAGCAGAAAATATGAAATCGTAATCTCATTCCATCCAAATTTCCACCTCAAACGCACGCACCAGCCAGCCTACAAACAATTCTATGAAATGTTTTCACCAACAATTAAGAAAAAATTTCATCTGAGAATTATTCAATCCACAACACCTGGATCACATCCAGTAGACATTGGTCTCAATTTGAAACGTACAATAACTTGAATAATTAATAATAGAGGATGTAGCACTAGCTCAGAAGCGCACGTACTCCTACTAGCTTACACACCAAAAAACTTAAAAACACAAGATAAATTGAAGCTTGAAGCGAGAGAATTAAATTGGAAAAGATATATATTATATACGTAAAAGAACAACGTGGAATAACAATGCAACGTAAACTAAATCAACTACACCCGATATGTGCGTACATGTGTGTGTATGTACGTGTGCGTATGTGTATGTATGTGTGTGAACAAAATAAAAACAAAAAAAAAACAGAAAAAAATGTTAAATAAGGAAAACGAACAGGTATTGTGTGTGCGCTTTGGCTCGAGACGGTGTAAAACAGACCGATTTTTTTTTCGTTTAGCCGAAAAAATATTTAAAAAATAATAAAAAAATAAATTAATGAAATAAATTGTTGATATTTTCACTATTTCAACTACTGATTCAATTCCTTGTTCCATTTTTGAACAATATTAAATAATTTTTTCGAATGAAGGTACAGTTCAAAATTTGAAAACAGGTTTTTAATGTAAATATTTGTAATTAACATTTAGATCAAAAAATTCTCTCTCTCTCTCTCTCTCTCTCTCTCTCTCTCTCTCTCTCTCTCTCTCTCTCTATCTATCTATCTATCTGACTCTGTCTCTCTCTGTCTCTCTCTCTCTATTTTATATTTTATTTCATCTTCTATGCTCTATCTTACACTCTTTGTTTTGAGAAAGATATAGATATAAACAGCAACGTCTTGTTTTTTTCGTTCATATTCGAATCTATCGGTTGGTCTAACTACCTATCTATCCTTTTACCGATCTATCTATCAGTCAATCTATCTATCCATCTATCAATCAGTCATCAATCTATCTATCTCTCTATCTATCAGTTTATCAATCTATCTAATCTATCTACCTATCTATCCAATAATCAAACAATTTATCATAAGATATGCCCGGATCTTGGTATATTAAATTGTTGTTGTTGTTGGCGTTCGTTTTCCTTATTATCCAAACTCGCCGAGTGCCGACCTGCTTCTACATCTCGTCTCTCATCCTCTTCATCACCGCCCTGGTGGTTTATCGGCTGCTGCTGTTGCTGCTGCTGCTGTGGCGTTTCCTTTCTGTGGAAGACAAGGAAGCAGGATTTCAGGCGCTCGAAGGATGCTTTTTGTGAGAAGAAGAGATCGTAGAGGGCCCCTCCGAATACCCCGCCAAGGATTGGGCCGAACCAGTAGACCTGGATGTGTTAGTGTGTGTGTATGTGTGTGTTTGTGTGTGTGTTTGTGTGTGTATTTGTCTGTTTGTGTGTATGTATGTATCTGTCTGTTTGTGTGTATATGTGTTTGTTTCTAATTCTCTTGTTTCTCTCTCACTATTCTACGTAAGCTTGAGTCTGTTTGTGTGATGTTTGTAATTAATTAATTTATTTAATTTTTAAATTATTCCAGTTTTAGTAAATTTATTTATAGAAATTCGCAAAAATGGCGCGCGTTTTAATACGGCAATCTCGATGTTTGAATGAAGGTCCGTTTGGGAAATCATTTGCCAATAACTTCTGCTATGTATAATGATTGTAAGTGCGTCTTTGTGTGTGTGTGTTTGTGTGTGTGTGTGTGTGTGTGTGTGTGCATGTATAAAGACATGTATGTAAGCCTTTAAGTGTATTTGATATATGTATATATGTATATATATATTTATTTATATATATATATAGATGAGTGTGCGTGTGTAGGATATTTATAATTGTATTGCATTTCTTTATCTGTATTTACAATCATTAATATATAATAATAATTGTTATTATTATATTTTATAATTATTATTATTATTATTATTTGAGAACGTGTTATCTCAGTCTATTTATAAAATTTTGCAAACTGAGATAACACCCTCTCAAACGTTAATAATAATTATTTTTAAATATGAAAATAATATTCATTAATTATTTTTAAATATAATAATAATAATAATAATTATTATTATTATTATAAATTAATGATTAACACTAATGAATCTGCTTTGAGACTACTAACCCAATGTTTGCTCCAAACTCCGCCAATCAGAGCCGGCCCGAAACTTCTCGAGGGGTTCATACTTGCACCAGAAAACGGTATCTAAAACGTGATTGGTTGATTGGATAAGCATAAATAAGAGCCACGCATAAATTATCCGGATATTTTTTGGCATCTATTACAAAAATTTAACAACAACTTGACGTAAAAATAACGCAGACTCCATTTTTTACAAAACTCAACGCCAGAATTTTTGACAAAATGCAATTAACGACAGCAGAATCAAATAGATAATAAACTAATTTGTAAACATGGAAGCTTACAGCAAAGAGCGATGCGGCCGCGAATGTTACTCCTATGAGGAAGGGGCAGACGCTTTCTGGCACGCCTCCATCCTCCGGTGCTTTCTTGTCGTAGCAGGCGAAGAAGACGAAGACGAAGAAAAACGTGGCGAAAAATTCCACCCCGAACGCATGGCTTTCTGGTACGTGTTCAGCCGGAATGGTGCAACCTTTGTGTGCGTGCGTGTGTGTGTGTGCGTGTGTATGTGTGCGTGCGTGTGCGTGTGTGCGTGTGTGTTTTAAAAAAACCAGAGCAACATATTTATAGCACTACAGACAAACAAATAAGAAATTTTGAAATGATTTTTTATAAGTCTCTGACTGCGTCTGTTTAATCGTTCGTTAAAATAGTATGCTAATTCGTTTAAGGCAATGTAGATAACGAGTTAGTTAGATGAGTGTGCGTGTGTGTGTGTGTGGTATGTCTATGTGCGTGTGTGTGTACGTGCGTGTGTGTTAAAAATAGAATAGGTTCTGGTTTTAAATAAAAAAGTTGATTGAGGAGACATAAACGCACTACTACTAAGAATAGTAACAACTCCAACGAACCAATCCGGTGGTAGGTAGAGTTCCTCTGCTCAAAACTTGTGACCCCGAAGACGAAGGATGCCCCTAGGACAGCCCCCAACAACTGACCCACTAAATAAAGCAGTGACCGCATCACGCTTGTTCGTCTTGTCGCCAGTAATGCCAAGGTCACTGAGCTGACTATTTGACCTTCACTGATTGACCTTTAAAATGAGAGCGTGTGTGTGAGAGAGAGAGGAGCAAGAAAAAGAGAGAGAATGAGAAAGAAAGCTACTTTTAAAATTTCCAACTAGAGAGAATAAAATCTACTAACTTGAAAACATAGAGCAGCGCAGTGTACGTCAGTCCAAAGGCCAGGGCAATCCTGACCGAATCAGGGTGCTCTTGGTTCGGGGTGTGAATCCAAGCCCCGCAACCGACCAGCACCAAAACCATCGACCCCACAAATTCAGCCAATAGACACCTCCAAAATTTAAAGTGTTTCACATCTTCTAGGAGACGAGTCATGCTGGACTTTAGGCTGTCGCCGAGACGGAAAAAAAAGTTTTGTAGACCGCTGCAGCGACCGCGGTTTAGTTTCAGTGGAGATGGAATTTTGTCTGTCGGTTGTCGATCCACTATAAAAATGAAGTGATACGGTTTTTTATCGGTATGTGAGATACGGTTTTGGATGCCGATATAATGACGTGTGTGTGTGTGTGTGTGTGTGTGTGTGCGTGCGTGTGTGTGTCAGTTTTGGTATATCTGTATGTGTGTGCGTGTTTAACGGGTTGTAATGGTATATTTGAAGATGATGAAGAAGACGACGACGATGATGAACAAGTTTTTTTTTATTTATAAACTATTCAAGTGTTCGCTAGTTAATGCAGGTTCACTGATCAGCATAAACAAACTTGTGGAATAATATATTATTATTATTGTTATAATAATAATTATTATTATTATTGTTGTTGTTGTTATTATTATGCCTTCATATTTTTATTATGCTTATGCATATGGCATGTTAAAATGAATAGAATAAATTAATTATTGCACTTACACTAACAACGGTCAAAAAATTATAATTTATTATTATTATTATTATTATTATTATTACTACTACTACTATTACTATTATTGCATCAACAACATCAACAACAACAACAACAACAACATTAATACAAAAACCTCATTAAAAATTTAATTACTGCTTTAAATACACACAAATGTATAGACCTCAACTTGGCAATATTATGCTATGCCTGGCGAATATCGTGAACTTAAACGC